CTTGCTCCCTACCCCCTCCCCTTTACACACACACCCACCATGGCACCCGTCCCAAACACATGCAAGGTGATAGTAACTGTTCATCAGAAAAATCACAGAGATACGTAAGAAGTCAAAGCATGGGAATCGTATCTGACATCAAATTTTTCACTGATGCGTCAAATTTAGAAACGTCTTCCACATGTCTACCATAAACCGTCTTGAACGCTCTGCAAACGCCTTCAATGTTGTTTAATGGACATTTTTCTACATAGTTTGTGAATCGTCATGAAGTCTCAAACAGATGAGGCTTTTTCACTGGACCCTTTACTTAGATGGATAGGTGTGGAATGCCTTCATGGCAATTTGTGCAAGAGTTTATGTCATCGAAATAGTTAAAGCCTTGACTAAATTTCCTTATTTTCAATTAACTAATCAAAATTATCATGTCTAGTTCAATCTTGCCAATTGTTTTAGCTTAGCGCTATTGTTAATCTTAACTATAACATATGCTGATGTTAACCGAGCTCATCAGTTAACATAGACATAAACGTCAACAGACGTATGTCTGACTGTTTCTATAACATATACTGACGATAACACATCTCACCAGTTTGCATAGATATGATCATCAACAGAGGTATGTCTGACTGTTTCTATAACATATACTGACGATAACCCATCTCACCAATTAACATAGACATGATCATCAACAGAGGTATGTCTGACTGTATCTGTAACGACATTAAACATCGATGTCTGTAAGCGAATCTGTTACGAACGATGTTATGACTGGAAACTGTGTTTTCTAAATACTCAAGAGGAAGAAGTTGAAAGATGTTCCGGTTGTATTTGACACGTCGAATGGAGTCGAATGGAGTGTTGGCGGTATGCACTGATTCACTGTCGCACATGTCCCACATCGTTACCTGTCTCACATGTCCCACATCGTTACATGTCTCACATGTCCAACATCGTTACATGTCTCACATGTCCAACATCGTTACCTGTCTCACATGTCCAACATCGTTACCTGTCTCACATGTCCCACATCGTTACATGTCTCACATGTCCAACATCGTTACATGTCTCACATGTCCCACATCGTTACCTGTCTCATCTGTCTCACATCGTTACCTGTCCCACATGTCCCACATCGTTACCTGTCTCACATGTCCAACATCGTTACATGTCTCACACGTCCCACATCGTTACCTGTCTCACATGTCCAACATCGTTACATGTCTCACATGTCCAACATCGTTACCTGTCTCACATGTCCAACATCGTTACCTGTCTCACATGTCCCCCACATCGTTCCAACATCGTTACATGTCTCACATGTCCAACATCGTTACATGTCACATGTCCACATCATCGTTACCTGTCTCATCATGTCTCACATCGTTACCTGTCTCACATGTCCCACATCGTTACCATGTCCCACATCTCACATGTCCAACATCGTTACATGTTTCACATATCTCACATGTCCCACATCGTTACCTGTCTCACATGTCCAACATCGTTACCTGTCTCACATGTCCCACATCGTTACCTGTCTCACATGTCCAACATCGTTACCTGTCTCACATGTCCAACATCGTTACCTGTCTCAAACGTCCCACATCGTTACCCGTCTCACATGTCCCACATCGTTACATGTCTCACATGTCCAACATCGTCACATGTCTCACACGTCCCACATCGTTACCTGTCTCACATGTCCAACATCGTTACATGTCTCACATGTCCAACATCGTTACCTGTCTCACATGTCCAACATCGTTACCTGTCTCACATGTCCAACATCGTTACATGTCTCACATGTCCAACATCGTTACCTGTCTCATCTGTCTCACATCGTTACCTGTCCCACATGTCCCACATCGTTACCTGTCTCACATGTCCCACATCGTTACATGTTTCACATATCTCACATGTCCCACATCGTTACCTGTCTCACATGTCCAACATCGTTACCTGTCTCACATGTCCCACATCGTTACCTGTATCACATGTCCAACATCGTTACCTGTCTCACATGTCCAACATCGTTACATGTCTCACATATCTCACATGTCCAACATCGTTACCTGTCTCAAACGTCCCACATCGTTACCCGTCTCACATGTCCCACATCGTTACCTGTCCCACACGTCCCACATAGTTACCTGTCTCACACGTCCCACATCGCAACCTGTCTCACATGTCCCACATCGCTACCTATCTCACATGTCCCACATCGTTACCCGTCTCACATGTCCCACATCGATATCTGTCTCACATGTCCCACATCGTTATCTGTCTCACATGTCCCACATCGTTACATGTACGTTACATCGTACCATGCTCCACCATGTTACATGTCCTATCTAAAGTACGATGCTCCACCATGTTACATGTCCTATCTAAAGTACGATGCTCCACCATGTTACCGGTCCTATCTAGGTTTTCACGTCCCAACTAGTCACTCTCACATCTAAATCTCCATATTCCACATCGCTGCCTGCCTCACACTTTTATGCCTGAAATGATAACATAATTCACATAAACGCACCCCCCACAAACCCCTATCCCCTCTCCGTCCCTTCAGATGAGCTCACCTCGTTTCCTACTTCCCACCAATATCTGCCCCACAACGTTCCATCCCCCTTCGTCACTGCATACAGCAACTGCACCCAAATGAGTTTCTATCATCTCGAAATGAATTTACTCAAGTTAATATTTTAATATGCTTCAGCGTGTATTTGTAAATATGTTAGTTATGAATGCACGTGTTACACGTGTGTGTTTGCTGACGCTTTGTGACATGTTCGAGTCGTATGTAGCCACTACTGTTAAACGTACGTAAGTCATACTAATCTCCCCAGAAGCCACTCTGTCACATACACACACTTACCGATGTCCACGGTATCAATATTCTCTTCATCAAACAAGAGTTGCAAGACGTAGGTGTCTAGACAGGTTGTATGGGTAGCGTGCACAGCGTCTACATAAAATTCGAGACACGGGCCCCTCCACCAGTATTCATACACGTACACAACGAGTAACATTCTAATTCCTAAAGCTCTCTATAAATGAAACTCGTGATTTCTTTGTTGAATGAGCACTCAATGCTAAAGAAATCCCGTGCCGACCGAAAGTGTCTTGAGTAAAATCGATAAGCTTTAATTGGATACAAACAATATGTTCGTCCTGGAGGAGGTTTGTTCTTTGTTTCATGTGAACCTGAAGCCAATCAGCTGTGCTGGTCAACTGCTGGTCAACATATTCGGCATTACCTCTGTACCATATACGACTCCACGAACTGACACCATTCTGAGTGCCTTTAAGTTCAGCGGTTGCTTCAATTCTGAATTCTAATGGCTTGACACATTCATAACGATTCTTAAACATTTGGATTTCCATCAGATCGCTGTGAGGTGTTTTTGCTTGATGCTAACAGTATGGTGTATTATTCCTGTCTCACGGAGACTGTGCCATGTCCCTTCCCAGAGAAACACGCAATGACACTGTTAATCCATCCTGAGTTATTCATTGCATTGCATGCTGTAACTGAATGATATTAGATGCAGGGTAACGGAACTCTTATCCGGGTTGTTAATGATTGAATGAAAGTCGGGTTTAACTATCACTGCTGTGAACGCGATTTGAGAAGGCATGCAGCACGATATTGCATACGGAGAATCGTTCACGTTCACAGCTTTGCATCAGACCCGTTTTGCATTATTTTTCAAAATATGAATACATTGATTTCCATTTCCCCTTTAAAGCTGAACTTATTGAATTTTCGATTAGAATGTCATTATATTTCTTTGTAACATTTCCTTAACTTGATTGACAAATATGTGTGACATGGGTTGGCCATATCACTCATCTGAGCGATATCGAGGAATTCGTGTTCAATTATATACATCCTCATATCTGTACACATATGGAACTATATCGGCCAAGGTATGAATGACCAACATGACCATATGCAAGTAGTGTAGACAGATGTAATAGTTTACAGGCAGAGACCAATGGTGTACGATCACACGCAAGACATTAATCGGCGAATGTAAAGCCAGATTGGATGTCCTCTGGTAATCTCTAACTGTTTGATGTGAATGAATGCAATAATGCCCCCTGCCATCCTTCATTGTCCACAAACGGCAGCATTGCTTTATGATGTTTGTGTTCATGCCCCATATTGTGTACCTGACCAGGCGCGAGATGTACTTAGCAAAGATTTATCCCGAAATAAGCACGACGCTGAGGGATCTGCAGCATCAGTAAATGGTGGAATCGATTGAAATGAACAGCACTTCCTCAATTGCCGATGGCGGCTTGTATTACTTTCTGTGAATGAATGTTTGTTCTGGGAATGAGATATAGCCATTGAACACTAACAGTACGCTAGTTATCAACCTGGGGTTTCGTATTACATAACACGTTATGTATTCTCATATACTTACACTGCCAGATGCGTCAGATAATGCTGATTGCAAAATTGATATGAGTGCTGTCAACATTAATATGTTTCTTTGAAAATGTACATGTCCTGCATATCTGCAGCAAACAGCTCTGGGCAATCAAATCTGATGGAGTATCGAGAGAAACGGTCCTAATTCGTCATTCGACGTTGGTGTAAGTAACGGTGCCTGGGAGAACATTACATCCAATAATAATTCTTTTCCCATGTCGACAATACATATACTTCAACAAGTGTGAAATTGGCAGGAGAGTTCTTCTTTCAATAACAACTTACAGTTCTAGAAAATGAGGAATATATTCCTTTGGCTTGGCGTCTCCATATCATATGATCGAGTAGTGTCTAAACTTATAAAACACACGTGGTTCAGCGGGACGATTAGTCAAATTGTTTTTGTTGTTTTTATTCGAATGCGGGCGTGGTTTGCTATCCCGATCTTCGTTCTTCCGAAGTATTAATTCTTGAATAAAGAGTGTTTTTCTTATTTGCAGGAACATTATTTTAATTACTGCATTACTGTGATGATTTACCGTTTCGTCATCAGGTCATTTGGAGGAAAGGCTCGGATCCGAACCCGCTCACCATTGGAAAGAGGACATTTGTAGACGACAAGCGAGTCATCATAGAACACACTCCTCTCCATAGGAACTGGAACTTATTGATCAAACAAATTCAGCTGGATGACGAAGGCATGTACGAGTGCCAGGTCAGCTCCAAGGCCAGACACTTGAGGCACCACGTGTATCTAACAGTATTACGTGAGTGTTTTTTTCCCTTTATTTCATTATACTTCAGTCCTTTAACATCACTCTAACAAGCTCTAAGCTCATGGTTTTTTTCATCTCTGAAAGAATGTATTGTCAAAGTACATTCAACTCTTTGAAGTTTGAGATAACTCTGTGATGGTTCTTCATTGTACCATTTTCTTGGCATCTCTAGTCATTCAAAGAAAGTTGGCTGAAAGTTAGAGCAGTTAAGGTAATATACATTGAGATGTAGGAACTTGAATGTCATGGTCTAGTGTATCGAAGTTTCTAGGTAAACCACTTAAGGAGGAGTCTCTCTGTTTATTGTTCCTCTTCATCCTCTTTGATAAGAAACAAATGAAGGCAGTAAACAATTTCAACGCCTACATAGGATTTATAAGCGTCTGATAGCTTCATCTGCTGGCGATGTAGCGATAGCAACAGGTCCTGGCGTATCTTACAATTTTCTCAGTTAATGTCCCATGTAATTTTCTCTGTTAATATCTTTGAGTTGTTGTTTTTTTTACAGCAAGTGAAACACCGATAAAACAGAAACCAGGTAGGTGCATATTTCGCTTTGCGTGAATAAACATGCTACCAAACGCACTTTCGACAAAAGGATGCCCGATTACTGCTTTCACTTTTCACGCTGCCTTCATCAAACGCTAATGTGTCAGCGACCACGTTGACCATAGTAGAATGCATTCATTGCTTCAAATCATCAAATGATGAGGATAGATTCCAGAGAAGGGATAATCAGTGTGCACTATAGGATCTTGTTTCGCAATCCTTACATGAAAATGGACAAATTGATACCAGGTGTTGACTAAAACGTGGGCGGAACCTACCACGTCCAAACCCTCACAAACACACGCAAAGACGCGGTCCACCCGAAAATAACGGAAACACTTGGTGCACGTCAAATAGGAAATTCCAGTAGACGTTGTCACTGGTGCGTCATATCTGGAAATGTCCTCAATATATCAAACATATTACCTGGTGAAAGCTTTCTAACGTCTTGAATGACGTAGGCCTAAGACACATTGTTTGGATCAAGATATAATGCGTTTTGTTTGTATCAGGTTCCAATACATTACCATATATATCAGCTCGATAGTCAAACCAGCACAAATATTTATCTCTTCCAAAGACATTTGACGGAATATAGCACACCTCGTTCACTATTTTGCATAAGCTATTGATTGAACTTTCAGATATGGGAACATGTGAGAAATGAGAATTACTGAATAATGTACGTTGAACAAAATACCCTTGTAGTTTTGTGACGAATATATGGAAAGCGGGAGACCAAAGACTCATTTACATGTTTACGCGCAATCTTAAAATCCACTTACAGACTAAAAATACTCTAAATTCTTTATTTATGTACTGATTGATATTTGACAACCATAAATATGAGTTGAGTTGAGTTGAGTTGAGTTGGGCTTTATGAAGACACATAGGTTGGAAAGAGTGGATAGATTTGTTATCTGTCCTATAAATGTCCTATATCAATAACCTTGTGTAGGTTTTTAAATAAAAACGTAATAAAAGTAATTGCGATCACTCCAAAATACCTTAAGAAATGGTTGAGGTCTCAAACGGTGGGCTGGCGTCATATATACCATTTCACCAGCACAACATTATGGCGTGGTATTGCTTCAGCTGACCAATCATCTTTCCCAATAGTTCAATCCTAGAGGTTTAACATGACACTATTTTCAGATGTAGGACCACCTGCACTACGCTGAAGTCACTTTCGCAATCATGTTTTATTTCAGATGACGTTCCCAAAACACACAATGGCTCTGGTTTGATATATGGTAATCTTGTGTGCTCATTGTAGACCTCCTCTTCATCTCTCATTGTCTCGGGGTTGACGCCTGCTCACAGCTTGGTGTCTTTTTGTTTGCATCTTTACATACATACCACGCTTGTTGAAAAAGTTAAACATACCTTTGATATTTCAGAAGAGAATTTTGAAATGTAACACTGCATGATTACTTCTACATCCCGTAGAAAGAAAGCACTTTAGTTTTTTGTTTGCGATTCTCAATAGATTAGATTTTCAATATTGATTTTGACTTTGCAAATATCTTTGTGTATTTTATATTTTAACAGTCATCGTTAAGTGCTCCGGTTACGTTGCTTTTTGTCTGAAGTTAGAACCTTTATTGTTCTTCCACATCATAAAACACAGTTATGAACACGTTGACCTTTCCTGTATATGTCAGCACGGTGTCTCCAGTTTCAGTAATCATCTTCCACCTGCTTACATCTCCCTTAACTGTGATTCAGAATATCAGAGTCAAATTTATATGGGTAAATCTTACATCTTTGACGAAAGTATCTCTGTAGTTTTCCATTCCAAATAAGAGTTAAATAGTAAATGTTATTTTCAAGTGAGAGGTGTTCAAGTTAGTTGCATTCAGTGTTTACTACAGTTATTAAACAACTTCATAGAACTGCATTTACTAACTCAAGCATGTAACCTGTATGGGGTTTGCATGTATGGGGTTACATATACAGCTGTGTTAACGAATAACCAATACTATCACGAGTGAAAATACCCGCTTGACCATTTTTTCACATTGTTGTTTTGTATATAGTTCAAATCGATCCTTCATAACAATGTTTCTGGTGGTTATTTGACGAAGGGCGTGATGTTCATTGTAATGCATTCTTCATGATGTTGGTATATTGTCGTTTCAGACATCCGCATCAGCGGGGAGAAGTACGTGGAGAAAGGCCAGAAGATAAACCTCACATGCAACGCCACAGGCGAAGAACATCCCCCCGATGACCTGGACTGGTTCAAAAATGGGAATAAACTTTCTTCCAGTATCAAGGACCAGATAGCTATACAGAAACGTGTGTCTCTCACAACCCGGACCATTGTAAGCATTCTGCAGATCAGCAATGCCGGCCTGGACGATGCCGGGGTGTATATATGTAGGACATCGGACCTACAGATCACCAGCGCCAGAGTTAATGTATTAAATGGTACGTTGACGTGCTCTCTGAAACCGATCGGGACACTTGCCTGTAATACTTCACTCTTTAGCATCATGTATTTAATGGTACGTTGACATGATCTCTACTTCACTCTTTAGCATCATGTATTTAATGGTACGTTGACAACTCTGAACCCGATCGGGACACTTGCCTGAAGTACTTCACTCTTTAGCATCATGTATTTAATGGTACGTTGACATGATCTCTGAAACCGATCGGGACACTTGCCTGAAGTACTTCACTCTTTAGCATCATGTATTTAATGGTACGTTGACATGCTCTCTGAAACCGATCGGGACACTTGCCTGAAGTACTTCACTCTTTAGCATCATGTATTTAATGGTACTTTGACATGCTCTCTAAAACCGATCGGGACACTTGCTTGTAGTACTCACTCTTTAGCATCATGTATTTAATGGTACGTTGACATGCTCTCTGAAACCGATCGGGACACTTGCCTGTAGTACTTCACTCTTTAGCATCATGTATTTAATGGTACGTTGACATGCTCTCTGAAACCGATCGGGACACTTGCCTGTAGTACTTCACTCTTTAGCATCATGTATTTAATGGTACGTTGACATGATCTCTAAAACCGATCGGAACACTTGCCTATTTAAGTACTTTCACCGATCTTTAGCATCATGTATTTAATGGTACGTTGACATGCTCTCTCGATCGGAAACCGATCTTTAGCATCATGTATTTAATGGTACGTTGACATGCTCTGAAACCGATACACTTGCCTGTAGTACTTCACTCTTTAGCATCATGTATTTAATGGTACGTTGACATGCTCTCTGAAACCGATCGGAACACTTGCCTGTAGTATTTCACTCTTTAGCATCATGTATTTAATGGTACTTTGACATGCTCTCTAAAACCGATCGGGACACTTGCCTGTAGTATTCACTCTTTAGCATCATGTATTTAATGGTACGTTGACATGCTCTCTGAAACCGATCGGAACACTTGCCTGTAGTACTTCACTCTTTAGCATCATGTATTTAATGGTACGTTGACATGCTCTCTGAAACTGATCGGAACACTTGCCTGTAGTCTGTCTCTCGTCAGGATCATAACGTTGTTGTGAAGGTGAACAATGTTCATGTGCCTACTGCTTAAATGATTTTTGTCATAAAACATACGTCATCGAACAAGTAATGTGTCTCTGAGATAAAGAGATTCTAACTAGGGATGTTATTTATCCACAGCCTGCTCTGCATCTAATCAACTGTACACGCGGGGGTTGATAATGTCTTCTTTGTAATTATTGTCACAACCAACCAAAAGAAATACGTTGACAAGAATAGGAAGAACTACATTATCGTTAGGTTTTGTTATACACGATATCCTTATACTTGATAATTCCGTGCAGCTTGATAGTAGGCATGGGATCATACCACCTTTTAATGTTATGTTTACATATATTTTTTTGTTTCAGCTCACACGTACAACGTGAAAAGACGTAAGTTAATTATTCGTATCAGCTTTCTTTAACCGTTATAGATCTAGTATAATGTTCAACTTGTAAAGCGTTTATAGAACGTTCACATTTTTAGCTCCTATTTCAATCGTGTAAATATACAATTACCCATATATGTACGCATATTGTGAGTGGTTGTTATATTGCATACACACAATTAAATGAATGTAACTGTACCTAAATACAGCAGTGGAGTGGTTATTACCGTACATAAAGTATGTTATGAAAAGATATGCTTTGATCTACAAAAATTATTTTTGCTTTTCAGACGAAAAGGACAAGAATAAGGCTACATCAGCCGCTTCTGGTGGTTCGCAGCTAGACAATGGAACGCGAGCTAATGCTGCATACTCTGTAAGCCTCGTGTTCACAAGTGCAATTTTCATGTTTCTCAACAATGTCACGTGAACATTTACTCCACCTATAAACTAATGGTTGTATATCGTTGTCATTCGTTGATGAACAACTCAACATCGCTCAAGCGCCACGGAGACGGATTGGTCGATGTTCCCTGTGTTCAGACAACACTGTTGTAATATTTGTGGTGACAATGAGATTGAAGTACAAAGCTTAACTCAGGGGAAATGTGATAAGCAAGAATTATGTCTTGATTTGTTGATGTCGTCAACATGAACGCTGATGTATTCGCTTCCGAAAGATGGCCTGTCGAAACAGATGATATAGGAAGATTCAAAGTGGGATATCTTGACACTAACAGTTTCATGATTTGTTTCTAAAGTGCAGTGTATATTTTAGAAAAGAATCAAATGATATTTTCAACGATTGGTTATCCAATCAGTAGAACTAAACACAGGTGAAAGTTGGCTTCTTGAGCTTTCCTGTTTAATGTGCTATTACCACAAGTACAGATTGCACATCACATTATGACACAGTATGTCTCATCAGATTGCACATCAGCATATCATCAGAGGTATGTCCAACTCAGCGGCACCCAACCAGGAGATCTGGATCGAAAATCAAGGAATTCCACGGACATTTTATCAATTGTTGTACAAACGATGAATGATCTACTCTCCTTACGTGTCATGCTTTAGGTATACCTCATATCATTTGTCATTTGGTCATATCGTGATATCACCCAGACAGTGTTGTCAAGCGATGTACAAGCCACCAACACTGCCAAGCCATGAAGGAACCCGTGGAGGGATGGCAGTCTGTGTAATTCCCGAAACAGTATTTGTGGTGGCGCTTACAGTACATTTACAGACGCTCTTGTACATAATAGGCGGGCCTGCCCATCACTGTCAGATAGAGATGTACATATGATTCCTGCTTATTTATGACCGATGATGTCTCATCTATGAAGAAGGTTCTAATGTATGTATATATTAGTAACTGAACGGGGTGTCGAGATGCATAATCATGTTTCAGAGACCATATTAACACATTATGGATAACACATTCTGCACAGCGTGAAATCCCACTATTTATGAAAGTCTGTATATATCACGTGTATTCAATCAGGTGTTGTGTTCACGTCCAAGATTGTGAATCAGCCATGTTTCCAAATCAGTTCATCCTTACTTCACTACTGTGTTAGTGGTACTTGACTTTGTTGGAAACTTAAATGCATCTGTCATGTCCAGCATACTATCTAAATGATGCATGTACTCTAGGATTTATTTGAGGCTATAGGTGTATTTAGTTAACGATATAAGTGCGATCATGTACACCTTCATTTGTATATGTTGCATAAGAAGGTCGTGCTATGTACGGTCGATCTCTCCAAGAAGCAAATCCGTTTCATGTCTCTGGCGCCTTCGTCACAAATGTTAAACTGACTTCCTGACTTCAGACAGTATCACCCAAATCATTCAAGTACATTGCAGTCAACATCGAGAACAATTAGGACGTGATACAATATGACATGGCCATTACATTGATCACTGTACATTGTTCGGAAACAATATCACAAACGACGATGACTAGACGTTACTAAACAGGTTGAATTATCTTTCATCAACCATGACATCTTGTCAGTCATCTGCTATTAAAATCTATATTATCACCTACATTTCCCCCTTGTCTTATGTGATATCATTACCTCCGACACACCACTAAAGGAGGATCAGATAGAGAGACCTCAGCACTCTCTTCTCAGATCTGTCGCTGAAGTGCTGTTACTATATGCAGTCAACTCTGAAAGAACACAACTACACACACACACACACACACACACACACACACACACACACACACACACACTCTCTCTCTCTCTCTCTCTCTCTCTCTCTCACACACACACACACACACTTTCCCGGCTTTGTGCTAACATATTATTTTCAATCATTCAAGTGGCATATTATGTCTGTTTTTTAAACTGGCGCATTGATAGTAGGTTAATAATAATATCATGATGTGAACCAATCGAACATCGGGTCTGCTGGCTCTTGCTGGCTCTTGCTGGCGCTTCTGATAGATGAAATTAGACTATACACACACCAGCCTAACCCTGGTTCGCCACGGAGTCATTCTTTGTATATAAATATTTATATTATATGAATATTTAATAAACATTAGAAATACAAAATAAGCATTTTGTGTTTATCTTGCCTGGTGGTCTGTCAACTGAACACAGTGTGCTGCAATGTCATCTAATATAACAACTGAACACAGTGTGTTAAATGTGACTTCCATAAAAGTGTCTATCCATAAAAAGTGTTCCACTGTTGAATGTGGTTGAGTGAGTTTAGTTTTACGCCGCACTCAGCACTATTCCAGCTATATGGCAGCGGTCTGTAAATAATCGAGTCTGGACCAGACAATCCAGTGATCAACAACATGAGCATCGATCTGCGCAATTTGGAACCGATGACACGTGTCAACCAAGTCAGCGAGCCTGACCACCCGATCCCGTTAGTCGCCTCTTACGACAAGCATGGGTTACTGAAGATCAATATTCTAACCCGGATCTTCACGGGTAGTCTGTTGAATGTACTTTAATAAAACAACTGGAATACAATGTGTTGTAATGACCTGACATATTCCTACTTTGGAAGGTTCGATGTCACAAGCCATATTTCTCCTTTTCACCAATGTAAATACAAACATGTACTCATACCCTGTTCTGTTGTGAATGTTGTGATTTCATTCTCGTTATAATTACATCATGTATATTTTGAAAATATGTAAAAGCATTCACAAGAATGAACTTTCTTCGACTTTTCACACAACTGCATTCTTCGTCACCTAGATAGAAATTTACGCTTTGCACAGGCTGATCTTCAGACGCCTTTCAGCGATCTTATTTTTCTTTCCCCATTAATGCATATCCCTGACAATAGATGGAATGTGCCCCCTCGCCCCCTCACCCCTGCCCCAAGTATTATCTCAGCAGCTGGTTACACCTGTGTTGCATCACTCTATACTGACAGTAAAAACACACTTGGGAAACTCGGTCTGCTTCCATTTATTTTACTTGTAGGATACGGAATGAGTCAAGGGTCCATCGGTATCGGTTTACTTTTACTCGTTTGCCTAGCTGTCGCCTTAACGCTTCAACACCCTTCTTTACCGTAGAAGCTGTAAAAACGTCAATAGATCTGCTGTAGATAAGAATTCATGCTTGTCTTCATCAATGCCATTGCGGGCGTGCGTGGGTGGGTGACTTCAAAGAAACTTCAAGACATGCGAGTGTTTTCAAATAAATACATTTCACTGGCGTCGAAGAAAATATGGGTTTGTATACGACGATTACCGAAGTATACACGTCGGTGTGCAATTTAAGAAAATATAATTCAGTCAAAAGAAAAAGATTATACACCCTGGATGATCAAACGTCTATCTCTGCGAGCCAGATTGAAAGACTGCATCCAGGGATCACCTTGAACTGGAGTTACACTATACAGACACATTTGGCTATATAATTCCCTCAATACAAGACAGGGGGGTCATATGTGTAGAATACCATGGCGCTAGAAGTAGGCCTCATGTTGTGTCGAAGCACAGGAAGGACTGCTCCATGACTACCATGACGGTGAGATGAACGATTGAAGCAATGAATCGTCGAGACTTTTACCTGTTTGCTGAGACCCAGGAAAATGAGGGACGTTTCTATGAGAGCTATTCTGGAATACAACAGGGCAGGGAATGCAACTATTTCTACAATCAGACGCTACTGTTTGGAGATATTGCTCCAAGAAATGTATCAGTCGCTAGTTCACCTTGATTATTATACAAATGATGAGACATAAATAGTTCATATAATGCCAATACTGTTACATTATTCATCTATGCTATAAATCTACACTATTGACATACCCCTTGAAACATTACTGATATAATCCATACCTAACCACAGTATTTATAACATAGGCTATTCGTAAAAACTATTACATTCCTATCTCATGCACACAAGAATACAGAGGTTAAACAGCTAGCTTTCTTTTAGTATAAGCCTAGTTCATCGCATTTATCTAAATAGAGTATAGGTGAGATTTAGCTAATGTTAAACACTTTTAATTTACTTTAATACAATAGGTTTAATGTACTGCAACATACAAATGCAATACCATACAACTGTATACAAACATATTAGATTAACGTGATGTGAAAGGTTTCCTGTTAACTGTGTGCGGAAGGGGTATGAGGACTGAGCTGTTTGACAAAGGGTTAATTTAGATAGTTACCTTGGCCAATCAGTTGAGCCTGCATCACTTTGACTTGTTAAGGGCTTGAGGGACAGATGAGCTACGTCTTAACTGTCCTGCCAACTTATTACATATGCAGAATATGATACACTAAAATCACAAAAAGTAGAATCACCATAGAGGAGCACCATTGCATTAAACGACTAAGCACGTCATGAGATGAGGAAAATATACTGTGCCAACAAAGGTAGTGGACATCTTATGATACACAAGGTATAGGCAAATAGCAATGACGTCCACTCATCAATGAGAGCAGCACCTAGCTGACTGAGAGGGATATGTCGTTTTGGCGTTAACGTTGATATCTTCCAACGTCGGCCCTGACATGGGCCAAAGTCATGACGGTTGACCATGGCATGTGTGTTTCCTGTTGGGGGAGTTTAGTCACAACCTCGGCACGATATGCACGTGCATTATCATTTTGAACGAGGAAGCGTTTAAGCAAATGCCACCACCGACGATCGTGATGGAAATGACGTGCATTAAGTTGTGGGATGTGCACTAACATGCAATCTGGACAGTTTCGTACCGTGGGGCCCCATTTCACAAAGCGATCGTAGCGCTAAGGTGATCGTAACTCCCATACTTTAACATAGACTTACGACAATCGTAGCGCTAAGGTGATCGTAACTCCCATACTTTAACATAGACTTACGACAATCGTAACGCTACGATCGCTTTATAAAACTCTTACAAAAGCTGCCTGTTATAATCGTTCCCTCGTCTGAGTGGCAGTTTTCAACCCATTTCTTAATTCCTTTGTACTGATTTATCTGTCCTTGCCTGGAGTTTTGCCCTTTGGCGTCAAGGGCGACGTTGATCATATACGTTACCTGCTGTTGGTATCTCACCCACAATATGCTGATGACAGACTGTGAAACAGGCGGCGTTTGAGGCAACAATATTCTGACGAGTGCTCACATGCAAAATGTTTATGGCACGTAAACGTTCAGCACGTTGCAAATGTCGCATGATCAATACTGTTACTTACTTATTGTTTTTGCCAAATACATTACTAACTTTCATTGCCAGATATTGGTGGGCGTTCCTTCACTTTTAACCTAAAACATACATGGTTCCATAGTATAGATAACATGGAGCGCCCTAATCTTGTTTCCTCGAATTGGGATGATATAATATAATTGGCTAACGACACCTGTTTGTCGTAATTACCATGCGTCATAAACTGTGCAGCCACGTTACATGTCTTCACCAATGATTTCATTTATGTCGCACACAGGAAACAGTTCAGCAGGAACATATCCAAGTTACCGTGTTTAACAGAGGACGATAATCGAGATTTGTTGAACCGTGATGAGATGACGAAACAGAATAAATATATTCCTTTCAACCCATCTCAGTACCCTTCAGTTAATGCACTTCTCTCATTGAACATACTCATAAAGTCTCAGCAAGAACTCATCGGAAATATGAAACGGCTACTCATAAGTAACTTCGGACATTGTGGGGAATCGAACCGGGAACCCACTGGACTATCCCACTTCTCAATTATTCAGACCGTGTTGTCTATCTCGTTACTCACACCCTCTGCCACATGTTTTGCATTCAGAATATTGTGAGCGTGACGTTAATAGTTCAAATCATCTGACATTTACTAGATCCCATTTTCATGTTGCGTTTAAACGAAGCCCGAACCCTGGTTATTAACGTATTTTGATTGTCGAATGAGATTGAATTGCACTCTTTACAGCGCTTCTGGTGTAAGCCACTTTAACCATGCAAATGTTTCAAGAACGTGTCCTGAATGCAAGGGAGTGAATAGAATAACATTTGAAGAAATCTGTTAGGGGCTATAACTGTATTTGCAGATGACATATATTACCAAGCAGAAAAGAGATGGTAATCTTGTCGACGGCAGCTAGTCTTTAACCTTTATCTCAATTGACCGATAACAGTAACATGTTCCAGAAAATACCCAGCAGCTCACAAATATGACAAAATATTCACCTCCTCTACTGCCAACGTTGAGTAGAATGGCTCACATACATCATGAAAAAACCCAATGTATTGACATGTTCATTTACATAAACTTTCGTGAATTTCAGTTAAGCCCCGACAAGTATAACCAAAGCATTATGTGCTTCGTACTTTAAAGATACTGAAGACAATAACGCATGCGGTAAGCGCCTTGAACTTTTATTGTGGCGTTGGCAATAAGCGTCTTGAACTTTTATGGTTTGTGTTGATTATCAAATAGAGCCTAGGAATTTTGGTGATTTTGTTTGTTGTGACCTACACTAAGTAAGTTTCCTGAGGCTTCGATTTGGTTTTGTGTGTAATGGGGAAGACGTGGTGATGGTCCAGACAATCAAATACATTGTGAAGATGAAGAGTGTCCGCTACTTGGTGATGATCTAGACAATCCAGTGCACTTTGAAGGTGTAGAGTGTCCAATATTTGGGGATGATCTAGACAATCAAATACATTGTGAAGGTGCAGAGTGTCCGCTACTTGGTGATGATCTAGACAATCAAGTGCACTGTGAAGATGAAGAGTGTCCGCAACTTGGTGGTGATCTAGACAATCCAGTGCACTTTGAAGGTGTAGAGTGTCCAATATTTGGGGATGATCTAGACAATCAAATACATTGTGAAGGTGCAGAGTGTCCAATACTTGGTGATGATCTAGACAATCCAGTGCACTGTGAGGGTGTACAGTGTCCAATACTTGTGATGATCTAGACAATCAAATACATTGTGAAGGTGTAGAGAGTTCAATACTTGGTGATGATCTAGACAATCAAATACATTGTGAAGGTGTAGAGGGTCCAATATTTGGTGATGATCTAGACAATCAAATACATTGTGAAGGTGTAGAGAGTCCAGTACTTGGGGATGATCTAGACAATCAAATATATTGTGAAGGTGCACAG